AGAACCAACAGAAAAAAAACCAAATTTAGAAGCTTTCACTTGGAACAAGGGGTCTCACTCTCTCGCTGGTAGCGTTTTTGTTTCTCTTATAATTTAGAAGTTAATTTGTCTACACAGGAAATCTAATTCCCTGTCACTAATAAAAGAAGGTGTAGAGTTTTCTGGGGCCAACATGGGGATGTGTCAGACGTCGGCAATTAGGAGAGGATTGGTTTGTGGGTTTGGCACCTGGCATTGTGGCTCCCTTTCTAACTGGAACTGAGATTATGTACTGACTACAATCCAAGACAAGGTTAAATGGCTCCAACAAAGACAGAGGCTAGAAAATGTTTCCGGACCTATCTTACCTCTCAGAGTCAAGTTTCCCTGCTTGCAAGAAAAAGGACCAGGTCCCGTGCCTGCAGTAATATTTTAAAGTTCTTGCTATTTTAAGAACTCTAATTTGTGTCTCAAAGACAAGGACAGAAACTCTGCTAAAGTAGTGCCTAGATTGACTACAATCAAATCAAATAGACCCATTGAGAGGAAACAGTGAAGTGTTCTTATTTAGAAAGTGGTGATTTAGCGTGTTTTTATCTTATTGATGATAATTAAGTCATTTAACCTCCACTGTAAGGAAGGAATAATAAAGAATGCTTTGACCTGAGTCCAGGTTTTTGGTGTTCAAGTTTGTGTGTGTGTGTGTGTGTGTGTGTGTGTGTGTGTTTTAATGTTTTAGACAAGTCCACTTTGGGGGCAATTCAGTCAAATAAGAGGGAGATAAAATTCCATTTATATATTTTCTCTATCTTGTTTCGTCTCCCAGAGCAACATCAATATTTTCCATACTCTGTCTCCAACTATTTATAAGGTCTGTAATACTTATAAACATATCCTTGCAGTAGCATGCTCTACCCAAAACCAATACTCAGATATGCAAAAGAAGCCAAATCGAAAGCCTTTTAAAATGCTATCCAGCAAACTTAGAGGTGGTACCATTCAAGCACCACTTATTCATTCAGCAGATCTTAGTGACCGCCTAGAGTGGAGCAGGTGCAGTTTCAACACCAGAAATACAGCAGTAAACAAAACACCCCCCAAAATCCATGTCCTCATGGAATTTACATTCTGGAGGGGCCGTGGGTGGATGGGATTGAGGTAGTGATAAACAAAAGGTGATACTTGGTATAGTAAATGGTGACAAGTTCTAATACAGTATGAAGATCTAAATGTCTTCTCAATGCAAGAAAACAAAGCAGTTTTCATAGTTTCTCAGAAAATATGACTAGAACAAAGAGACTTCTTTCTCTATTCAAAGATCTTGAGTGGGGGTTTCCATTGAAGCAGCGTTTCCACTGCTACTGATGTGGACACTGTGTAAGCTTAATGAATAGGTAGGTTTATAATAAAGAATGAAGAAAGAAGTCCTCCCTACTTCAACAGATATCTGTACACCAACATTCACATCAGCAGTAATCACAACAGCCCAAGGTGGAAAGAACCTGGTGGAATGTGTAAATGAGATGTGGTGTACCAAAGCAAGTGAGCGTAGCTATGCTTCTCTCAGACAAACTACACTTTAAGCAACAAACAGTAACAAGAGACAAAGAAGGTCATTATATAATGACTAGAGGCCCGATGCACGAAATTCGTGCAAGAGTAGGCCTTCCTTCCCCTGGCTGCAGGCACCGGCTTCCCTCTGGCACCCAGGACCCAGGCTTCCCTTGCAGCCCTGGCTTTGTCTGGAAGGTCGTCTGGAAGGGCATCTGGAAGGACCTCTGGTCTAATTAGCATATTATGCTTGTATTATTATAGATAATGGTTGATTCGTCAAGAAGATATACGCATCCCTAGCTGGTTTGGCTCAGTGGATAGAGTGTCAGCCTACAAACTG